GTCGGTATTCTAACACGCAGAGCTACAATCTTACAGCAGACAGTCTCTACATAGCCTACCTCTGTATTGGACAGTCTGCTGTATGTGTGGCTGACTAGTTTGCTTTATTGATGTATATTTTTTATGTATTTTGTTATAAGAGCAGAAATGTACTCACTTTGGTGTCCAGGCTATGTAGATGGAGAATAGTGCCGTATAGGCAGGGCTCCAGCTTTTGAAGATTTTCCACTCTATGCTAGTAACTTCAATAATTTCATCAGCCTCTTTGGCTTTGAAGGTGCTGAATACTCTATTCATAGTCACTCCAACTGAACTTTGCCTTGGGTAGCGGGGAAGGGTAGCTAGGGTTCTGCCATATATGTTGACTGGACTTTAATAAGATGCGCTTATCTTGGACTAGTTGCTCTCCTCCGCCGGCTATATTTGGTTTATATAAATTCTCCTTTATAATTATGCTTCGAAGATTTGAAGTGGTACCGACATTTAAATTTTACTCTTATCATAATTTATAGTGTGTTATCCTGATTTGACCGAGAGATTGTCCCAAATTTTAAATAGAGGTGGTATCTCATTGCTTCAAGATGTGGCTCGAGATTAAAAATTCTTTACGGCTGGTTTTATGAACTAACCTAGGGAAATTACTGAATCTCTCATGAGTGAATACCTTACTGCCTCAGACCAGATGGATTCAATATAGCAGGAGAACATACAAGGGCATGCTATTTTTGTCCCTACTTAAATGCGGTACTGGCTAATTATTTTTTGTATTTTCTATAACAGGTTTTTTTTGTATATGGTCTTTTTTCATTTATTTTTCATTATGTTATTGAAAATGGGTTGCACTTTTTGTGTAATATTGATTGTAGACTTGGTCTCGCAATTAACTATCTTAATTATATTTGAATAGTAAGGAGACAGGGGGCAACCATGTGTCGCAAAGCTTTAGATTTCACTAGCTGTCATGGTCTCAGGCTTTTGTGCCCCTACAATAACATCGTTTAGATTACTAAGTCTGTGTGAGCAAATCCAAACCTTCTATCCTGCTTTACTGTCCTGCTGCTGTGGTTTCGAGCCCTTTGGCAACTTGCTAGATTATAGATGCTATTCTAAGCCTTGAGGCTTACAGGCTGAGCTCATCTGATCGCCAAACGCCTAAAGCCATCTCATGGATTTCACTTCATATCATAATTTCTCAAGTACGTCTGTGCTTTTATTGATGTTTGAGGATCACAGAGTCTGCAAACATAATTTGTTGGGCAAGGGCAGTTCTTAGGGATAAAGACTAGGCTAGAAATTTTTTAAAGAAACAAAACTCAAAACTAAATAATAAACCATTGTACCCAAGTTGGTTAGGGTGATATATTGTTTGTTTCGGTACAACATAGGCGCCTTGGCCGGTATGTCAACCTTTAAAAATGCAACCGTCATAAACCAACATCGCGGGGCTCTAAAGCACTACGCTGGGGGTCCTTACCCTGTACTCCATATCAAGTAGCAGTGAGCGAACTGTAATACTCAAGGCGATGAGACATCACTACTGCCTTCAGCTCATATATGGATTAATATATTAACCTATGCATTCTTCTGTATAAGTGTTGCGCCAAAGTGCAATTTGAGTTTCGTTTCGATATTTTGGTTATATTAGATAGAAGACTCAGAAAGCCTCGGCATGTTGATTGCGTCGTCGCTAGGGTCAGTAGTTTTCTTTTGTGAAGAATTAAGCACTTACTAGTGGTTTGGACAGTCCACAAGAATTTAATGGATATGAAATATAATTAAAATTTGACGGAAACCTAGTTACAAGGACACTTGGAGACTATGCAAGTGGTAACCATCACTGGCTTTTTGTCCATAAGTTGGTTGGGCCTTTTGCTATTATCTCTGTTTTTCACTAGGCTCATAACTAACCTCTGGTCAAGCTGTCTGGGACTGTTATCTATGCATAGAAGGCGCGCAAGAGCAAAAAGCAAGAAAACCATACATGTGCAGTAGAAGAAAAGGATTGAAGCAAAGCATACGGGTCATGGGTACGGGTTGCGTGAGGATGGCTCACACTCACCTTCAAGACGCCACCCACCCTGCTCTGGCACGTGAGCTGTGGCCTTGCAGGAACACATGACGCAAGGGCGGAGCTAGAATCGGCTGTCGGCCTTCACTTCTACATCAAGAAGCTTCTAGGGTGTCTATGGCATAGCGTCTCAAGAAGGGGTATAGCATTCTATCGGTGTCACGGATTTATTCTGCGATACTGGCATTGGTAATCACTCCGTTTTCTTTTCTTGCCACTACTTCGGAATTCTGTGAGATTTCCAGCGACTTCACCTTCTTCCTCCACGCAATGTGACCGATCTGAAACTACTGCCCAAGAAGTAGTATTTTTTACACGCGGTTTGAGTGTCCAGAAAAATGAAGCTTAAACTTGATCAAACTGTCTAGTTATGTGTATCATACCAAATTATCTAATATGGATCAATCATAATGATCTTTTAAGGTGAAGGCAATTTACAATGGAATCCTCGACCATGCGCGCATATGATGATGTCAGGATTTTATTTCCCTTTATGGGGATGATCCAAATTGTCATTGTGTATGTAAAGTTAGTAAAAACTTCCTAGCTTCGTCGCCGAACTAATTTAGAATAGGCACTTTCACTTTCTATCCTCGCCTCACTACTAAGCGTGATTTTGACAACCAGTTTTTTTTGTAATGCTTTTCTAATTTGTTGGTTCATTGTCCAATATCAAGAATGAGATTACGGAAAAGCATTGCTCGCTTCTCCCCCAACAAGAACCACTCTGGTCTTGGTTTCCTCTCTTCTATGGGTGGAACGTCTACTGAGGTCCAGTGAAACGATGGGAATAAGGACTATATTAATGGAGATCGGGCAGCCATTATAGCATTCTCATGTGTATTGGGGACTGGAGGATCAGAAGAACAAGGCCCAATGAGTACAGATAGGAGTCTGTATTTTTGTTAAGAGTGGGGGGCCTGGGCAGTGTGGGGACCCCGGGAGTTGTGGGGGGGTGATAGGCAAAATGTGTAGAAGGGATGGTCTTGGAGGGTGTAACAAACGGTGCAGTGGGTACCTTCTGGTGTGGTGGGGGCCGGGCGATAAATTGGTGGAGTGGATGACGTATTGTCTGTGTATAAACATGTACTCTATGTGGGACGTTGTATTAGAGGGAACCGTGGCTAAATAACTGTGTAGTGAGGAGGGAGTGTATGCTACTGTTTCCCATTGAGGGTTTCACGTAATGGGTTAATTAATTAATTAACAGAATGTAGGACCCAGTTGATACTTTCTCTTTGTGTCATTGATATATAGCGACATGTAGGGACTGATCCGGTCGCAAGGATACGGGGGGGAGAGTGAGCAAGGCAAGGACGGCATATGGGGTATTGGGGCCGGTTTAGTAGGAATTTGCCGATGAACCAAGGGGAATCGCTTGTGCACGCGGGCTGTGTGAGGTGGATAGTCTCCTCAGCACTGGGACTTTGGGGGCCGGGCAGTGAGGGGCCCACTGGAGTGAGGGGGCTGGGCAGTGGGGGGCCTCTGAAGTGGTGGCTGGGCAGTGGGGGGCCAGGAAGTGGGGGGCCACTGGAGTGAGGGGACCGGGCAGTGGGTGGAAGGCCTCAGGAGTGGGGGACCAGGCAGTTAGGGGTCTCGGGAGTGGGGGGCCTCGAGACTGGGGGAGCTGGATACTCAAGACCCACAAACCACCCGCCACATCCGCCTTTTATGCATCCGCCAGGCCCGAATAAGACGGAGGCGTCGAAAGCATCCAGAGGACCCACGACCTCCTCACAGATGTGGGGGTGCGGAAACGGCTGGGTAAGGGGAGTCCGACCCGGCGCCAGGCAGCTGCGCACCACGGAAGCCCTGGAAGCCTCGGCTGCGCAGGCGCCCCAGGAAGCCCCACCCACCACGGCTGCGCAGGCGCCGCGAGGAGGCCGCGGCTCGCGCAGGCGCGCTTTCCGCGCTAACATGGCGGTCGCGCTGCTGCTGCGCGCCCTGCGCCAGGGCCCGGGGCCAGGCCCAGGCCGGGGGCGGCTGTGGGGCCCAGGCTCGGGCTGGAGCCCCGGCCTCTGCGCTGGGGCCGGGAGGAGGTGGCCGCACTGGGTCCCCAGGCCTCCGGTGGGCCTCGCTAGGGCTGGAGGCCGAGCCTTACAGGTAACCCCTGGGCTTCCCGCCCCACTTGCCGGCTGCGGAGAGGCTGAGGGTCGCGGCGCCTTTGGCCTTTCCGCCCGGCCCGGTGTGGGCGTCTGCGCCTTTCCGCCCGGGCGCTCGGCTCCTGCGGGCTTCCTCTGCGTCCTTCTGGACGTCGCTGCCGGAGGAAAGTTGGGTTGTGTCAGGCGGGCCGGAAAGGTGGGCCTGGGTCTGCGTGGGCCTCAGTGTGGACTCCGCCAGGCCTTATGGTGTGTGTGGGTGTTTTCTGTCTCCCTGGCATTTTAAAGTCCAATCCAGTAAGAGTTTCACCAGTTTCTAGCAGAGCATTCACTTACAACTGTCTGTTATCCGTCAGTTCCTTCACGATAAAGTCCAGCCAGCGCCTTCCAAATAATCCTTGGTTATTGCTTAAAGTTTTTGTGTGAGCAAAATGCCGTGTAGCTGCATGTAACTTTTTGTAATGTAGCTTAACCAGTCATTGATAAAAATGCATTGAGCACCTACTGTGGGAAGGCGTGTTCTAGGCCCTGCTAAGGTTAGCTTCCCATCCTGAAAACAAAAAGACTCTAAACCTTAGGCTTTTTTGCTGATTGTCTTCCCCCAGCTCTCATGTTTTATGTTGTAATTTATTCTTATTGTATTTTACCATAACTTGTGAGGGTGGTTTAAATTATAATCCTGTATTCTAGACTAATGGTCACCCTTCCTGCATCTGAGGGGAACTATAGATTTATTACACTTAAAAAAATTTTTTTTAGTTGTAGTTATTAAGAAGGAAAAGAATTTATTTTCTTTAGTCTAACTTTGTGCTTATTCTGTCAAAGTGAAGGCCATTCATACATACTTGTTAAATTTAAGCAGATTATATTACTAGTGGCTGTAACATTAATAAACTGAAGTAACCTAGGTTTAAACAGTTTTTGTGGTTGATTTTGAAGAATGACAGTTTTTTGCTTTATCTGACACACTGATTTACCCATTTATTGGGCCCAGTCCACGCTGTGGCCCTCCCTTATATGACTTTTCTGGTCATCACTGAGTCAAGATTAATACTAGTCGTATTAATTAAATGGGGCAATAAGTTGTATAGAGTAGGGATTTTCGTTCTGTGGTTAACAGGAAATTACATGTTATGTAGTCCTTAGCAAAGAGCACTGAGCAAGGCATTCCTTTTCTCCATAGCAACAGCAGAGCGGGGATGAGCTAGGCAAAAAATTTTTTAAAAGTTTAGAAAATGACCGCATAGCAGGGGGTGAAAGTGGTCTTGACCTGGTTAATCCCAGTTCTACTCTGCGGAGGGGATGACGGTGGGAAGGAATCACTTGGGAGGCTGTGGAGTGTTTGAGACCAGCCTGGTCAACATAATGAAAAAGACTCTCAAATAAAATGAAAATAACAACACAGAGATAGAAAAAATTAAATTGGGTCATTGATCTTTCTTTCTTTCTTTTTTTTTTCTTTTGGGAGACAGAGTCTCACTTTGTTGCCCAGGCTAGAGTGAGTGCTGTGGCGTCAGCCTAGCTCACAGCAACCTCAAACTCCTGGGCTCAAGCAATCCTCCTGCCTCAGCCTTCTGAGTAGCTGGTACTACAGGCCTGTGCCATCATGCCCGGCTAACTTTTTTTTCCTATATATTTTTAGTTGTCCCAAGGCTGATTATTTTTTTCTAGACCGTTTAGTAGAGATGGGGGTTCTGCTCCTTGGCTCAGGCTACTGGTCTTGACAGCTCCGGTGAGGCTCAAGGCGATCTGCCCCACTTCGGGCTCCCCAGAGGAGTGCTAGGTTACAGGGGTGGAGCGCCACTGCGGCCTGGCGCACTGCAGCCTTTGTCAAGCTGCTCCCTTCCTGCTGCAGGATGGGCCATGGGTGGCTGCCCATGCATTGCATTTGTTTGACGCGCCCACTTGCTTTTGACATTTTGATATTACCTTAAAACTTTGAAGTAATGCTCAGACTATTAATTCACATTTCAGGGAAATGTAAATGTGACAGATAAATACAGCTTTTAAAAAGGATTTTTAGTCTGCATTGCTTTGTTGCACTGTGATGTTGGCGTGACCTTCAGTATTGGGTTTTTTTATTCCAGAGCTTGCGTTTACGACTGCTAACCCCTACCTTTAAAGGGATCAGTGGATTGTTATTGAAACAGCATCTAGTTCGGAATCCAGTCATACTTTGGCAACTTTTAGGTATGTATCTATGGAAAGACAGGAGTAATAAGGCAGAAGTTGTTTTCTTTATCTGACAAGCAAAGCCTGTGGCATTTGTGGGTATATAAATTAGGATAATGTTAGGTGACACTGACAGAAAAACTGCTAAGAAAAATCACTAAGAAATAATATTTTGGGCTTCTATTTATTAGGAGCCTTAATAAGACCCACAGTCCTTGGGTAATCTGATAGGAAGTTTACAGAAAGGAAGTTGTCTAAGGTCTGAACAGGTTATTTTTGCTTATTTTGGTTTGAGTTGTCCTTTATTTTCCCCCTGCCAGTTTTGGGGTATAGCAATAATTGGGCTGCTTGAAGGGAGATTTTCATGGTATCTAGCCAGCTCCTAGAATGTTTAGTAAGAAGTGGCTTCAAATGTTTCATATCCAGGCTGAGTGCGGTGGCTTACGCCTGTAATCCTAGCACTTTGGGAGGCTGAGGCAGGAGAATTGTTTGAGGTCGGGAGTTTGAGACCAGCCTGAGCAAGATGAAGACCCCATCTCTATTAAAAATAGAAAAATTAACCAGGTATGGTGGCACACACCTGTAGTCCCAGCTACTTGGGAGGCTGAAGTGGGAGGTTGGCTTGAGGCCAGGAGTTTGAGGACGGTATGAGCTATGATCATGCTACTGCACTCCAGTCTGGGCAAAAGAGTGAGACTCTGGCTCCAAAAAAAAGGAATTTTCTATCCAGAAAGTAACTATTAAATAAAAATACCCTAGGCCATGGCACATGCCTGTAGTCCCAGCCATTTGGGAGGCTGAGGCAGTAGGATTGCTCGAGCCCAGGAGTTTGAGGTTGCTGTGAGCTAGGCTGATGCCACGGTACTCACTCTAGCCTGTGCAACAAAGCGAGACTCTATCTCAAAAAAAACCACAAAAGACCTATAAATAATTGGCTGTTCAATAGAGTTGTACCATTTAATGAAATATGATGAAATTTTTCCATCTCTCTTGACCTTAGGTTAAAAGATCTTCAGGATTTACACCTGTAATTTTCCTCCCCCATTTATCCAATAGAAATAGGGAAAAAGTGCCATTTTACATTTCTATAGTCCTGCTAGTTTACATTAATGAGCTTGGTGCCCACAGGTGGGTAGAGAAAGCACTGGCTGTGCCTGCCCGTTGGAGGTGAGTTAGCATCTTGCCCATGTGCTGTCTCACGTGAAACCACTCGTCTTGCCAGTGGCTCTGAAACGGCTCATGCCTCCGCCTTCTGGAACACCTGACCGTGTGTTCCGGTGGCAACAGAGGGGTTTCATTGGTGATTCTGTTAATGTCTTTGTGAAGACAGTTATAGTTCAACACGTGGTTGTGAGACTTTGCCCCCATTTTTAAATGCTGATGTGCTTGGATTTTGTTGTTTTATTATTTTATTTTATTTATTTACATTTTTAGAAATGGAGTCTTGCCGGGTTGCCCAGACTGGTCTCTAACTCATGAGCGCAAGTAATCCTCCTTCCTTAGCCTCCTGACTAGCTGGGACTGCAGGCGAGCACCACCACACCCGGCTGATTTGTGTAGACTTTGGCTAAGACAAAACCTTTTGTGTGAGGAGTGTCACATCAGTCTGGCTTGGTGATGGTGGCACCTGGGCTGCTGCCACATGTGCCATTTGTTTATTTATTTATTTTATTTTAATTTTATTTTTTTGAGACAGTCTTGCTTTGTTGCCCAGGCTAGAGTGCCATGGCATCAGCCTAGCTTACAGCAACCTCAGACTCCTGGGCTCAAGCGATCCTTCTGCCTCAGCCTCCCAAGTAGCTAGGACTACAGGCATGCGCCACAATGCCCGGCTAATTTTTTCTATATATATTATTTGGCCAATTAATTTCTTTCTATTTTATATTAGACATGGGGTCTTGCTCTTGCTCAGGCTGGGTTTGAACTCCTGACCTCGAGCAATCTGCCCGCCTTGGCATCCCAGAGTGCTAGGATTACAGGCGTGAGCCACTGCACCCGGCCCCCCTTCCTTTCCTAATTTAAATAGCAAAAATATTTATAAGCTGAAATAGTTTATTATTCTGTGTTAGTAAATACTATGCACAGAATGATAGAAGGAAATGCTTTATCTCAAATTTATGCACTTGTTGATGTAGGTATGTTTTCAGGTGGTTTCTGTTTCACTTTGGTAAGTTAAGAATATGCTGTTCTCCGTGTCTCCCCTGCACTTACAAACCTTCACTGTCAAATCCTTTCCCTTTGTTTTGTAGGTGGCACTTACTATTTTAACACCTCCAGGAGGAAGCAGAAGAGTAAGGACAATGACAAACCCAAGGGGAGGACCCCTGAAGAGGAGGAAGGTGTGCTTGGTGCTCCTAAATAGCAGCTGTCTGGGGTTGTCTTCACATACGTGTTCTCCTCTCAGCAAGGCGAGACCAGTCTTAACAGTAAGGAGAAGCTGGGCGTGCTGGCGCATGCCTGTAATCCCAGCTGCTCAGGCGGCTGAGGCAGGAGGATTGCTGGAGCCCAGGAGTTCAAGGCCAGCCTGGACAATATAGCAAGATCCCGTCTCTTAAGAAAAATAAAATGTGGCCGGCCGTGGTGGTTCACGCCTGTAATCCTAGCTTTCTGGGAAGCTGAGGTGGGAGGATCGCTGCAGTTCAGGAGTTTGACACCAGCCTGAGCACAGTGAGACCATGTCTCTGGAGGCAAGAAACAAAAAAAAGACAAAGAAAACAAAACAAACACAAAACCAGAAAACCCAGCCAGGCATTGTGGCATGCACCTGTAGTCCCAGTTACCGGGGAGGCTGAGGCAGTAGGATCGGTCACAGCCCAGGACCTGGAGCTTGTGGTGACTTACAATCACTGCACTCTACCCAGGAACCCGAGTGACACTTTGTCTCAACAAAAAAACCCCGGGGGCGGGGGGAGAAGTAGGGAGAACTCAAGCTCCTATCCTAAGTAACCCTATCATACCTGTTCCCACTCTAAACGACTATGGGTGGTTTGTGCCTGTTCTTTTAGAAATGCTTCCGTGGGTCCCTGTGTTATGTTTAGGAATGCCAGAAGGCAGGCAGTCTTTCTGTGCCTGTGAATGGGAAGGGTGAGTCTCAGATCTGCTCTGGACGTAGAGTTCTAGGGGTGAGGAGGAAGGGACCAGAACTCCTTGGCTAAACCCACCTGGCCCCATGCACACCTGGTCCATGTTACCACTTCCTCCTGGCTTGGGAAGCAGTCCCCAGGGTGGATGCTGGTACAGTGAGTGGACAGTGACCACCCACTCTGCGCACGACCGCCATGCGCCAGTTGGTCCTTAGCCCCAGCCCGTTTCACAGCTGCCTCACCTGTAAGATCTGTGAATGTCCTGCAGATCTTAAATCTCTAGAATTAGGCTGGGCGTGGTGGCTCATGCCTGTAATCCCAGCACTCTGGGAGGCCGAGGCACGCGGATCGCTCAAGGTCAGGAGTTCGAAACCAGTCTGAGCAAGAACGACCCCGTCTCTACTATAAATAGAAATTCATTGGCCAACTAAAATATATATAAAAAATTAGCCGGGCATGGTGGTGCATGCCTGTAATCCCAGCTACTCGGGAGGCTGAGGCAGCAAGATATCTTGAGCCCAGGAGTTTGAGGTTGCTGTGAGCAAGGCTGACGCCACGGCACTCTAACCTGGGCAACAGAGTGAGACTCTGTCTCAAAGAAAATCATAAGAGTAAATATATTTACTACCTATCTTGAAGTGGATCATCGTAAAGGTCTCCCTCACGTCGAGTAGGCTCAGGAGCACAAGGGGAGGTTTGTCTTGCTCTCTCAGAGGTGGCAGAGGCAGAACATCGGAGTATGTGGACAGACCCGCACCGTTCAGACCTGTGTTCAAGGGTCGATGGTAAAGGAAGGAGGAATGGTTTGGCGTGAAGGAGAAGACGGACGGGCCTGAGCAGCGTCTGTTCTGCCTTGCATGTTGTGTCGTGGTTACGCAGGGACATACTCGGTTCTCCTGATAATTCTGGTTCCTGGAAGGAAAAGCTGCGGCAGCTTCCTCCTTATGATTCTTGGCATGTCGTCGATGCTCAAATACACACTCATGGGACTGCATTCTAGACACAGCTGTACTAGCGAGTGCTGTGGTGCAGGATGACATGGGAACAAGTTGTCATTGTCCTTGGCTGGCGCTCTGTCCTGCAGCTGCTCGTGTCCGGTGAGCCCTCGAATGGCTGGGGTGTGGGTCCTCTGCTTTCGAGTGATTGTCCTATGTTCTGTTTGGGCTGAACTGTAGCCTGTCTTGAAAAAATAGGTAACGCTCATGTCTGTTAAATTTGCATTGGAGGATAATTATTTACTTATTCAAAGAATCTTTCTTTCCTTTTTTTCCTCTTTCTTTTTTACTCCCCTCCCCTCCTCTCTGCTCTCTCTTTTTCTTTTCTTTCCTTCCTTCCTTTCTTGACAAGGTCTTGCTCTGTTGCCCAGGCTGGAGTGCAGTGATGAAATCATAGCTCCCTGTAGCTTCAAACTCTTGGATTCATGCAATCCTCCTGTCTCGATCTCCTGAGTAGCTGGGACCACAGGTGCATGTCAGCACGCCTGGCTAATTTTTTAAAAAAATTTGTAGGGATGATGCTTTACTATGTTGCTCAGGCTGGTTTCAAACTCATGGCCTCAAGCGATCCTCCTGCCTCTACCTCACCAGGTGCTGGGATTACAGGGCTGTGCCACCGTGCCCTGGGGAGTCTTTTTTGTGAGAACCTTCCCTGGATTCCCCTGGTCCTTTTGCTGTGATTGGGAGTAGAGTTAGTCTGTGTGTTTTGGGGCCTGTTGACTGCATAAAACAAGCACAGCACATTGCTGGTCCTTAGACGTGCCTCCAGCAGGCTTTCCTCACTGCCAAGTGCATAGCTCCATCCTGTCCACTCATATGAAGACAGCTCTTTCCTAAAGAGCAATGCCGAAGGTAGCTGACAAACAGCCCTGCCAGCCACTTACGGGGGGCCTACATAGAGATTTCCCAGAAAGCAGTTGCTTGGGACACCACTCACTGATGAAAAGGAATAACTGAGCTGAGTGCGGTGGCTCACGCCTGTAATCGCACACTGTGGGAGGCTGAGACGGGGGATCACTAGAGTCTGGGAGTTCAAGACCAGTCTGGGCAACATAGTGAGACCCTGTCTCTATACAAGATAAGAAAAATAAAATTAGTAGGGCAAGGCATCGGGTGCCAGTTGTCCCAGTAGGAGGATCGCTTGAGCCCAGAAAGTTCGAGGCTGCAGTGAGCTCCGATTCCATTTTTTTAATGAAGACAAAAAAAAAAAAAAAGAAAAAAGAAATGAGCTACTCGCACATGAAATAACTTGGATGAATCTTGAGGGAATTATGCTCAGTGAAAAAGGCCAGTCCTGACGGATTACATCATGTATGGTTTTCATTTTTTATAAAACATTCTCCAAAGACAGAATTACAGAGATGGAAGACAGATTAGTGGTTGCCAGGGGTTAGGAGGTGAGGGGGCGGAGACAGCACGAGGGAGCCTTGTAACGGAGCTGTTGTGTGTCTAGACTGTGGTAGTGGGCACACTGAACATACACCCGTGATGAAATCGCACAGAACTGAACACTCAGATGAACTGAACACCCACGTGTCATGGGACGACCTGAGGAAGACAGATGGTAACATGTGGGTATCCTGGATGTGATGTTGCCGGTGGCTTTGCAAGACGACACCGCTAGAAGCAGCTGGGCAATGTTGGCAAGGAATCGCTGTTTTAATTCTTACGGCCACCTGGGACTCTATAGTCATTTCATAATAAAAAAATCAGAGAAAGAGCAGTGTGGACAATCATCAGCCAGCCTCCGTGGAGGATGGTGGCATTACCCTGTGGCACGAATGCTTCGTGGGGCAGGCCCTCCTCCTCATCTTCCGCCAGCGTCGGCGCTGGGGTTCTCAGGAGCCGTTCATCCCAAGTCTCACCTTTGGGCTTAATTCCTTCGGGAGGAATTTCCGAGCATGAAGACCCGGGCTAGCTTCCGTAGCTGCTTCCTTGAAGTTCAGTAGCATCGGCAGTTTGTCCTTAGGTGACTGACTGAGGCGGCGATTGTTCCTTCCTTAGAGGAATTCTGATGACACAACTTGCCAGTGGTCCTGCAGGCAGTGCGGCGGATGCAGGGTGTGGTGGCTCGGGCGGCAAGCACACTTCCTGAGCAGCTCTGACAACTGCATCGTGTGGGCACACTACTTACTCCTGTCTCGGGCAGGAGAGACTTAAGTTGTGACCTGCGTTCTCCATTAGCTCGAAGCGTATTTAAGGAGCCCAGATGGCTATGAGAGGGGTCAGGAAGAAAAGGTCCCCGGAATGTCACATTCGCCATGCGAACGACCACAGTGCAGATGGAGCAGAGGACAGAGGCGTGTTTGGGCAACTCAGAAGGGATGTCCTGAAGGAACTGGTTTGGGAGGAAGTCACAGACTTCATGGGGAGGAGGTAGGGTGTCTACATGTCATTCTCTGTTTAGAATCATAACTTACATGTGTGCTGCAGACATCCTGTTGATATTTATTATCGACTCAGATTTTCAGTGGCTGAATCCGTCACTTTCGTCAGCACGCACTGCGCAGTGAGGGGGTGGCCTGTGTGGCTGCAGTGGCACGTGGACCTAGGTCCTCGCCGTGTGGCCCAGGCTGGTCTCGAGCTCCTGAACTCCCACCATCCTCCTGCCTCAGCCTCAGCCCTAGGAAGTTTTTTGATTTCAAAACGGTTTCCTGTTATCTAGGCGGGACCCACTCCTCGTCCTCTCTGAGGTGAGCTCAGTGAATGAAGGGTTGGTGACCTTAATTCATTGTCCTTAATAGTGTTTGTCTCAAGTGACTTGTGGAACAATTGGCAAAATTGCTGGATCTTAGGGGAAACAGGACGCAGCCCCTTCCAAGCCGAGCTTTCCTGAAGAGAGGGCGTCTGAGGTCGGTGCCCGGCCTGGGCCGTGGCCTAAGCCTCACTCAGTTTGTTTGCTTCCCCCCCTTGCTCCCGGCTGCTCAGAGGAGAGGAGGCGCAGGGAGCGCGAGGACCAGATGTACCGCGAGCGGCTGCGCACGCTGTTCATCATCGCCGTCATCATGAGCCTGCTGAACGCGCTCAACACCAGTGGGGGCAACATCTCCTGGAACGACTTTGTCAACGAGATGCTGGCTAAAGGCGAGGTGCAGCGGGTGCAGGTGGTGCCCGAGAGCGATGTGGTCGAGGTCTACCTGCACCCCGGCGCCGTGGTCTTCGGGCGGCCTGTGAGTCGGGGCGCTGGCGTGGGCACGGCGTGCGGAGGGACCTCGCGCACGTTCCTTTTCCTTTCATGCCCCACCCTCATCTGTTCGGTTGTCTTTTTTTTTTGAGACAGAGTCTCGCTTGTTGCCCAGGCTAGAGTGAGCGCTGTGGCGTCAGCCTAGCTCACAGCAACCTCAAACTCCTGGGCTCAAGCAATCCTACTGCCTCAGCCTCCTGAGTAGCTGGGACTACAGGCACGCGCCACCATGCCCGGCTAATTTTATATATATATATTAGTTGGCCAATTAAT